GCACCCCAAACCCCAGCTGCTGCAACCCCCCTGCATCCCATTAACTGTCACCGCACCCCCTAAGCCACAGCTGCTGGCCACTGCAACCCCACAACCCATTAACTGCCTCTGCACCCCAAGCCCCAGCCACTGACCTGCCATAGCTCATTAACTGCCACCAACCCCAAGCCCCAACCTCTGCATCTCCCACACCCCTTAACTGCCACTGCACCCCAAGTCTCAGCTGCTGGCTGCTGCCATCACCTGCACCCCATTAACCAGCCTCTGCACCACAAGCACCAGCCCCCATACCCTAGCTGCTGAAACTCCAACTGCCACTGCACCCCTAAGCCCCACCATTCAACATTGCACCTCCAACTCCCCCATCTACTGACCATTGATCTCCTAAATGACAGCCACTGGACATGCACTCTGCCTGCTGCACCTGCCCACAACCCCTTTGGGGAATTGCACTGCCACACCCAACCACCTCTACCCCCAGGAACTGGTCCCCTTTTACTTTACCAACTCCCTTACTCTCAATTTAGGTCAGTAAAGCTCCCACCAGGATATATATGCCTGGCTGGGCAAAGCTCTTCAGGCTATAGAGTCCTCTGCTGTTGAAGCGCTGTCCATGCCAGCACTTTACATCATTAACATTTTTTGTCAGTCAGAGCTGTGAAAAAAGCCACTCCCCTGCACAAGGAAATGCAGTGTGGATGTAGCCTTAGTATAGGCAGTGGGACTTGGATTTTGACAAACAAGGAGTTCTGTGGGACCTTGTAGGGATTCCGACTCCCCCTATAGCGTCGCCCGTCGTTGATTTTGGGGAATTGGCTCCAACGGCGGCAGTGCTATTCTATTCGGGTCGCTGTCCTCTGACAGTGCCCACACAGCCTGGGCTTTACCCCTTCCGGGTATAGTTCGGGGCATCCGAGCGCAGACGGAATAGTCGGGAGCCCCCTTGTTCCGCACCCTTATCGTTGCCCCCTGTGAAGTACCTTTCTCGCCGATCCCCGGCGACACATGTCCGAAATGCCCCTTAGTCACTCTCTTGGGTTTTTCCTTTTTAGCTACTCCGGGAGAGGGGTATAGAGGAGGGCAGGGGGCCCGGGCCCACCCTCACTCCCGGGCCTCAGCCCAGGGCCCTAAAGGACTCGGACCGGTTTTGGTCCAGATCCGGCTGACAGAGGCATCCTGCCAAAACCTGCCAATCTGAGGGGTTCTTCTATGATCCCACCCTGGGCTACTTCCTTTCCGTTCTGGCTCTCCTCCCCTGCTGCTGTCTTACCCGTCCCTCCGCAGGCCAGCCACTCGTCGCTCCGGACGGCCTTCTGGACCCCGTTGCTCCACGGGTGTCTGCAATGTCCTGCGTTCCGTGGCCGCAGGTTTGCGCCCTCACCCATCCTCTGGGGTCGAAGGCTCCGATCTCTGGTGTTTGTCTTCCCGCCGCATCTCCCCTCCTCCACACAGTCCGGGGGTGGCGTTTAAAACTCCCACCGCGTCCGGCGCCGGAGGGGGATGTTATGCTGATGTCACCGGCTAGCTCCGCCCCTCGTGCCACGGCCACCACACCTGAGGCTGTCAGCTGGTCCACGGTGCGCGTACACCCAGCACAATGCCGGTGCGCACCTCCTTGCCGCCCGAATAGGACGCTTGCTACGGGGGCTTTAGTGCGGGATTGCGGGGCCCCATCACAGATCTTAAAGATTTGACAGTCATTAGGGCAGTGGTTTCCAACCTTTTTAACCACAAGAACACTTTTTCAATTTAAATGCAATGCAAGATCCACCTCAAACTCAAATACCTTTACCCCGCTTCTACTGGCCACCATTCCCCATTACTGATCAATGGGAGCTGTAGGAGCAGTGTCTGTAGGCAAGGACACATGTGGAGACCACCTGCTCTGCTTTCTCAGGGGCTGCAGGGACATGCCAGCCACTTCCAGGAGCAACAATTACCATGGGGATAATGACTCCAGCCAGGACCAGTTAGGCATTTTAGAACTCACTACTCAAAGAATTAAATGTAAGTGTAAGATAAATGAAAATTACGCAATGCACAGACCAGTCAAAAACCAAAAATAACCCACTTTGCAAGCAGTAAAAGAAGTAACAACAACACCCCCCCCCATGTGTGTGTTGGGTCGGGAGATGAAAGGGAAGGACAGTGTGAGTGAGTGTGTGTGTGTGTGTGTGACAGAGACACACACACTTTTGAAAAAGCAAGTCGCTTTTTCGAAAGAGAGCACCCAGGCAGTCTGGATGCTCTCTTTCGAAAAAGCCCTGTTTGCATTCAAGAATGCCTTTTTTCGAAAGAGCACTTTCAAAAAAAGGCATTCTTCCTCGTGAAATGAGGAGTACCGCCATTTAAATCAAAAGAACGCAGCTTTTATTTCATTTCGAAAGAAGGCGGCTGTAGTCTAGATGCAGGTGAAGTTTTTTTGAAAAAAGACTACTTTTTTCGAAAAAACCCTGCAGTCTAGACACAGCCTATGTGAGTATGCCAGAGATTTGAATTGCCAAGCTTCCTCCACCCCCTTCTCTTCTGTGTGGAGACAAGGTATAGAAGTGGGGGGGGGGAGGGGGGGGGGAGGCAGCTCCAAGGCAGAGAGCAGGAGCAGCATGACAGTGGGGGAAGGGGCAGCTGAAGTGCCAGCTTGATAGCTTCCTGGCGAAACCAGCCAGGATCACCTGTAAGAGGCTCCAAGATCTACTGGTAGATCCCGATCTACTGCTTGGTGACCACTGCATAAGGGTTCATGGATAAAACCCACTTCCATCAGATGCACTGGAGTGGAAGGTACAGATGAAAGAGTGCATATGTAAGGAAGAAGTTGCTTGGGTTAATGAGGTTAATCAAGTCAGGGTGAAAGTGGCTCATTTACAGCATTTGATGTGGAGATTGGAATATCCATGTTTATGATGTGGTTATTAGGTTAATACAATACAAACCTCTTCCCTCCCCACCCTTCCTCCTAGTGATGAATAAGGCAGTTTACCCTGCCTCTCCCAGCCCTAAGATCACCCACCACCCATGACCTGGATCCAAGGTCTGTCGCCTCCCAGGTGAGTGTCCTAACTGTTTGTGAGAGGAGCGTGCACAGCCCTGTCTTAATAATAAATGGTGAGGTCTGCCTTGACCACAGTGTGGATCTCTAACAAGCAAAACCCAGGCCTGTCTCAAGTCTGGTGCATGTAAGCAGGCAGGCAAGGCCGAGGGAGAAGCTTTGAGAGGCAGGAATGTTTTGCATAACAATGCAGATTAAGCATGTCGTAGTGAGGCTACATCAAGAACACAGGACAATCAATCTTGTACTGGTACTTCTGTTTCTGACAAGCAAAACTTATAGGTGCGGCCATAAAACCGTTAATTATACACATAGTTTTTGCGACATCCTGAGTAGCAGGATGTACCTCAAATAGGGCATTGCGCATTGTAGGTTTCTT